ACATGAAGGACTAAACCGAAAATATATTGCCTTGAAAATTTAGTTATGACAGTTCTTCAAGAGAGGGCATAATGCATTTTTTTCATGACTCAGCCTAGGTTCTCAAAAGAAGTGTCAAAAGTTCACTTCTAATTTTGCTAAGAATAAACTATTTTCTATAATATCGTAGAGGAAGACTTATTTCATTTATGAACTCTAATTCTGATGCCCGTATGTTTAGAAAATAAATTGTTTCACTAAATTTCTAAATTTTCTAGTAAGTACTAAATTAATATACTAAGTTACATCACTATGTTATATGTGGCGCAAATTAAACTAACTGAACTATAGGTGAAAGAGATAACAATAATTCTAGACCAATCTGTGCTGAATTACATTTCATATTATGAAAAACAAAATGTATGTACAATCCAAATCCAGTTACAGTCCAAATGTTTTTCCTTATTTGGTGAATGATGTTAAATATATTAAGCCATAACCGTTGTCATGTTGTAAGGTTAATGTTAGTAATCATACTTAAGAATATACAGAGTGACCCTAAAATATACATATAGGATACAGTCAAGAAAATATCAAACTTCACATTTCTGACTTTGGACCATCTTATAGTAAGCGGCATACAGGGCTGGATAGTACAAGTTTCAACTACTTGTAATTGAAATACGGTTTTGATATTTTGATTACTACCTAATTTAATTACTATCTAAAACGTATTTCGTAATTGATATTTCAAATACATTCGTGTTGTCCGGTGAGTGGTAATTATTGTAATTTGTTTTTGATATGAATGAGGTCGTTATACCGTATTTTATATTTTCAATACACCTCCTGAAAGTATTCTGTAATGTATATTTTAATTAAAAAGATAACACGTATTTGAGCAGCCCTGGCGGCATAGAGTTAAATATAAATTTATTATATTCGTGGGTACAGGCACGGGTTTCCTCTCAGGCGAGGGAGACCCGCGCCCAACAGTGGAACGTATACATGGGTTAATGATGATTTTGGTAGGTGGAATTTACTGTTTAAAAATCTAGAAAGTGTATAGGAGTCACCTTGTATACTCAATAAAACTATATAAAATCGGATACATCAGCCTGTCGGAAATAAAACATCTCTAGTGATGATTTTCAATGTTAACAAAACACAGTTACTTGTCTAACACATCGAGTATATAACCATATACTCGATGGTCTATCAGCTGATTGTTAAACCTAAAAACGTAGTAATTTACACTGTGTTACACTTACAATGTGTCACTACATTAATGTTTTAATTGTATTTTCTTTTCCTTGATAGATATGAATGAAACTGTATATCTGGAATATTTTAACAGGAACTTTTAAATCAGTTTGTTTATAAGAAACTTGCGCCACATTCCATTTAACTAATCTAAGACGTTTATTGATATTAAAATCGGATTAACTATAATACTATGGTGATGAGGACTAGAAGGTGATAGAATGATTAATAACAATTTATTAAAACATTATTTTAAATTATTTTTGCTAGCACCGTGTATATGTATGTATATATACCTATATATCTGTTTGTCGTCAGTGCAATTTTAAGGCACGGCACCCATTGGCGAACGGCATGGCAAGGGATCCTTCGCCATTCCTACATGCAAACGCACACTGCGGTGTCCTTAGGCATACCGAAGCTTACCATCGCGACATTGTGCTCGCGCCCTGTCTCTGTTCTAATCAGTCGTAACGCTGCAAGCTGGTTTTAATACCAGTATAATTAAAAATGGTAATCTTGCTGAAGAAGAAGAAGAAGAAGAGATCTTGCCGAGTCATTCCGGAGACTTCCGGTTCGGTATCCTTAAGCTTACCGCATATTTGTTTTTGTAACTTAGGCCATTATAATGGAAATTTCAACTATAATACTATAGTATTAAGGTGTATTACTATTCGCCACCAAACATTCCCTCCTGCCGTGCCGTCCCGTCAGTGGGCACCGGGGCTTAAACTGATGAAAATTGTCTATTGAGTAAGTTATTAACAAATGAGACTAGTTGCCGAAATACAGATTATCGTAAACATTTTTTTTGCATTGAATATAATGACGTTCTACCGTGATATTTATAATTTTTTTTTTGAGTAATGTAATTCCACTAGTTTCATGCAAATATCGGTATTTGCATGGACTCGGGTCCAGATCAAAAGAATTTTCATTTATGTTGTTTGATCTTTTTATCATAAATAATGACATACTTCGTCGGTATTATTTTAAGGCAAAATGTAATGAAGTAAATATCTTTTTATTTTATTTATTTTTATGACAATCCACTTTTGGAGTATGGTCATATGTGGTTTTGTTATACCAAGGGTACGAATATGAAATAGTTAAAACATATCTTTCGGTGTTCCGTTCTTACTGTACATGTAAAAAACATGTTTATATTTTTACCTTTACTAAAGCTTTAATTTCATAAGCGGCCTAGATTAATTAAGTGACAAGCGTAAATACAAAATAATAATATACTACATATGCATAGTTATTATTTGCACTATAATTTCATATAGAATACTTAACGAAAAACCTAGTCAATGTCAATAAATAATCAGTGTTGACTTGTCGGTTACTTGTTCCGTATTTGAACAGTTATTTCAAATATTAATTAGGATTTCATTATTTTGTTTTCAAGTTAAAACTAGGGGCGTTTAAATCACATATAAGTAACTTATATGCTAGTTGCACTATAATTGCACAGTGAAAACAGTAGCAAGTACGTATATACCGCAATTTATCACCTTAAAATTCTTGGACAGTGTAAACGTGGCTTATAGCTCAATTTACATTGTTGCGGTACGGAATGAAAGCTACTTTATGTAGGCATAAATAGAACTTTATGTCATTTGAGATATGACTCAAAGAGTAGGTTGTGCGCTACCGTGTCGTACCTAGTTTGTACGTTATACAATTGACACATAAAGCTCATCACGTTATGTACAATTTCGTTACAAAAATTCAATTCCATTCCGTTCCGCAACAATGTAAATTAAGCCTAAGGGTTCTTGTTCATTTAAAATCAAGTGTCAAGAGTGATAAATCTGAACGGGTGTGATAGAGACAACATATTGATTTTTTAGACCTTAATAGAGATATTAAGATATTACTTAACCCTTTCATGGACAGTACTTAAATTTTGTCAGTACGAAATTGATACTTCTCTATGGAATAGCAGTAGGCGGCAACTACACAGAAAGCACTTGGAAATCGCACTGTAAGGCCCATAGTTAGTTTTTTGATATCCATATAGCGAAACGATGTATCTCGTACCCTATAAACGGCGTTACTGTCCACGAAAGGGCAAGGTCAACTGTCTTTATTAATAAATATCACTTGAATGCAGATGAATAGTCTATTAATGCAGGAGACCTTCAATTACATCTTAGCTGATACGCATTTAATATCGATGTTAGAGCATTTACGCACTCCAATTCGTATTCGTCCCGAATTCGAGTCTATAGAAATCTAGAAAAATCAGACCCACTTCGGACGTAGCTTGTGCACTAAGACCGATTTGAATCCCAAAACACGAATATCGCTTATACATCTAGAGATAAAATGATCCATGTAACATATCAGACCGTCATTTCTGATTCGGAACTGACACGAATGGGATGTAGTGCACAAACGCTTTTAGGGGCTTGTAGGGTGATTCTCAGGCTACTTTTCTTAACCTAATTTCGGTGGCAATTTTCACTATTCAAATATTCTTGAATATTATCACAGATAAATATAATAATATACTAGAAATAATATCATGAAGTATTATTTAATATTCGAGTGTAGTAACCTGAAATGTTGTTTAATAATTCAAGATAATATACTCGAATACTGAAATAATGAAAATTGCCACCAAAATTAGGTAGAGAACTAACTTGACCTTGATTTGGGGAACTAACTTGAAAATTACCCAATACGGGTTTTAAATTAGTATAATACAAATGTTTTTTTCTTGATATTCTCATAAAATAAACAGTAATTATCGAGTTCTTAGGTTTTTGCGATTACATATACAAAATGAAACTATTTTTTCCATTGTAAATTTATGTCAGCCGTGATCACGGGACCTGACCCTCTCTCTCTCACTCTCTTTCTCCATCCGAAACAATCACTGTCAAATAAATAATACTCGACCAAATTAGAAGGACGCATAATACGAATGAAGCTTCATACTTGATTTAATTTGGTCGAGTATTACTTATTTGACAAAAATTGTTTCGGCCGGATGTCGGACGGAAAGCTAGAGTAGACCCCATTGACGCGATGTGAAAGTTCATAAAATTACTGAATGAAACCAATAACTATTATATTCTCGTCGTTATATTCGTCCGGCCGGATTTGAACCGACGTCTTCTAGCATCGGAACGAACCAGCGGACCTTACGAATTTATCTATTTTCTCTTCCTAGTAACAGTTATTGAATATCAATTCAATAAAAATTTAAATACAATGAATAGCGACATCTCTAGCCGGAGCTGGTAGCTGTAAAGGTATGTATCTGGGTGCCGAAATATCATAGATTTGTCATAGATGGCGCTACGACTAAAGTAGTTGAAAAAACCAAATACAACGATACGACGCAAGCACATAGAAAAATTCGTGAGGTCCGCTGGTTCTTTCCATGGCTTAGTGGGTATAGCGTCTGGCACGGTATGCTAAATGACGTTGGTTCGAATTCGGCCGGATCGAAAGAATTTTTTCTGAGCGTTCGATCTTTGTATTAATAATTATAACAAAGTAGTGGAGTAATTTCACATAAAAATAAATGAATATCAATTGAATTAAAATTTAAATATCATGTATTAATAAAAATAATCATATTATTCCCAATAAGATTCATTCAGTATTTTTTTTATCTTCAAATTTTGAGTTACGACAGTATTTGGATCCATGTGCGAAATATACGCGATTTAGATCCGAAAATAGTTTTATTTCGTATCCACCGAAGTAAGTTCAAACCAGTTAAAGAAGTTTCCTTGCAGCAAGCATTAGAGAAAAGATGGAGATACCAAGTGTACCGAATTTAATCTTAAAAGTTGTTTGGTCGATTCAGCTAACCAAAGCAATAACCAATTAAAAAGAGCCCTCATTGAATGTAGCTATTAAGATACTCATGTCACCATAAAACTAAAGAAAAATGATCATTTACCTTTTTAGGCACCATGGGTTAAAATTAACTTTATAATACATTAAACAAATTATCCATGACCTGTCATATGTCATACGATAGCCTAAGTCCTACGAACTGTGCTAAAAAGGACCTTATTGAAATTACATTAAGATACAACCAGAAGACACGTCGTCTCTAACCGGAGGTGGTGCCCTAGTTGGACTAACAACAGCAGTACTTACAGTTTCCTGAACTGTTTTTGGTGAGTCCTTTCTTACTTGTTTGGTGACTTCTTGAACCTTTTGCGGTGGGGGGAACTTCTCCGTAGGAGTCGTCGGTTTGGAGTCAAGGTTCAATGAACTTGTGCTCGATGTTCTTACTCTGGGGTTGACCATGGACATTCGTCGTTCGCGCGTGTTGATGATCGATGTCAAGAAGGGTATCTGGTTGCTTATGGCCAACATAAATGGTCTGTAGCCGAGGCTGTTGAAGGAAATACATGTTTGTTAAAATACTGCCCAGTTTAGTGTGAACCCGAGCCAAAAATCTGTCATTTTTGTGGTAACTAAGTAAAGCAGTCACCACATTTTATACAAAATTAAAATGTTGCGATTAAACAATAGCTATAATAAATTACTCATAGAGCACCACAACAGCTGCGCGCCCTTAATGACTCCTTTGTTTTTTATCGATAATGGGCTTGCGCACGCGTCGCGTACGCTTAAAACTAAGCAAGTGGGAGAGAGATCGCAATAATGCAGTCCTGCTCAGATTATTTACGGCCAAGTCTACAGCGAGTAAATACTTTACACGTCAGTGAGACCGATGGTGTTACTAACAATTTTGGACAGGAACGTCCTATCCACCATTTATTTAAAAAAAAAATATACAAGAAAAAATTATGAATAGCAGAATAAGGAAAAGCCCAAAGTGTACGCAGATCATGAAGCTAAAAAAAAATTCCTAATTGGTTCCCCCGCAAATGTAACCAGAGACGTTGCCGGTGATATTGGTCGATGACGTTAGTACATCTCACCATTCGGCGTCGGTCCAAGCGCAGATGTCCTGCAGCGCGGCCCTGAGGCGCTTGACGGCCGGCAGGCTGACGTCTTGCGCGCGCGCCGCGTTGGTCGTGCGCAGCACCGCCAGCGCGTCGCGCAGCACCACGGCCAGCACCAGCGCCCACTCCACGCAGCTCGCCTCGTTCATCAGTTGTAGGAAGTAGCTGTCGAAGAGACGTACACCGACCGTCTTTTGATAACACGTCATATATTAACTTAAAAAAAAACCGATCTCAAATTTTGGTGGAATTACATCTATTTGCCAAATTTTATTGAAATTGGTTGGCGGAATAAACCGAATTAATACTCTAATTTGAATTCAATTCAATTCAAATTGTTTATTTCAGACCATGTCCATAGATGTTAGTTACAAATGTACCTAAATGAAAATTATTATAATATACAATTGAATCACATCCACGAAAATCAATGAAATAAATTAAATCAAATTATCAATCATATCAAATTATAAATTAAATTAAATTGAAACATTTACATTATATTATAAATCGGACCTCTGGAACCCATATAAACTCGGTTCCAGTGCTTCCACGTGTCGCAAACAGGGTACGCCCAAATCAACCGTACGAGGCTGTTGGAACTGTCACGCACGCGACGCATCAGGAAGGCAGTTCTCTTGCGTATTATCGCACAAAAGCTGCCAATATGCGCCTCCGCGAACATGCCTGATCAGAAGCATGGCAGTTCCAACAACATCCTAAATACATTGTTATATTGAACACGCAGAGCATTGGCCGCCTTTTTAGTGTAGCGTGCAAAGCTGCGGGATAACATACTACAACGTACGGTCAATGCCCTGCGCTCTCTCCCTATGTCTACATCATCACAGAGGTTCTCGGTGACCCAGTGATCAAGGTACTTAAATCGTGTCACTCGTATGAGAGGAGCTCCACACAGATGCACTGTTGGGGTTGATATGAGGGTTTTGTTACCAGCCTTAAATACTAACATCTCACTTTTATTAGTATTGTAACTTAAGCCATGTGTCACCGCGTAATCCTCACAAATTTTTAACAGCCTAACGAACGCACTGATCGAAGAGCACAGCAGCATTATATCATCCGCGTAACTTATGTTACAGTCATTGACTGTAGTGGCACCGATTGAACATCCAATACCCGTTCTGCTGAGTCCCACGATCAGCTCGTCCATGTACAAATTGAATAACGTAGGCGAGCTAAGTCCTCCCTGTCTCACCCCACACTCCAATTTGTAAATGTCCGAGAGCGCACCTGCCCATCTCACTTGATTGGTTTGATTGGCCACCTTTAATGGTGTAATAATGGGTTTTCTTCATATTTGAATGGGATCACTAATGAGGTGATCCTTTCCAACAAAAAAAATTCACCAAAATCGGTTCATAAATATCGGAGTAATCGCGTAATATGCACATAAAAACCGTCGAATTGAGAATCTCCTCCTTTTTTAAAGTCAGTTAAAAGAGGATACAATGTCTTATTTCATCTCCAGTACATGGAATCAGAAACTTCACAAGATCTTTAATGTGAAAAGTGTAAATATAAGGAGCGCAGAGAGGTCCACAGTTTCTACCTAGCCTAGTGAGAAGCAGGCGTGATTGTATGCACGAGTTTCTTTTGTGTATGTGTGTGTTTAAAATTGCTTTTATCTATTTATTATTGGACATAAATGTCCTTAGTTATAGCATGGAGCAACAACTCAAGAGTACTGCTAATCTCCATGTTACAGATCGTAATTCTGGAAACGGTCAACATTCCGTCTAATATGTAGATAGGGCTGGCCAATAGCTTGGAAGTAGTTTATATTGTATAAATGGTCGTGGATATAAATTAATTCCTATTTAATATGAAATATCGACACCAGAAATATCAATTAACGTAAGGGACATTTTGTCGAAAATGAGTTACATATATCATTGGATTCGGTAGTTCCCGCTCTTTCGATTGGTATTATTAAAATTTAGGAATGCCCAGTGGTTTAAATTATAGCATGTCCCTTACATTAAAAATCACAAAAAAAATTGTTTAGTTGTGCCTTACGTTACTAATATTTTATGTGTAACCCGTCGAGCACAGTGTACGCAGGAAGAGAAATAGAAAATTATACGTAATTCTGTTGTAAAGGATAATTTACAGTAGAATTACTTATAATCTTCTTGCGGCTCTTTATCAAGAGAATGCAATTTATTCGTGTTTCAATAGAAATCGATTATTTTGTAAAGTAATATTATAACAGTTGGATAGAATTCGTTAAAGTCTAATGTAATACGTAATTAACCTCAAAAACTACAAAAAGGCGAATAAACATTTTTTTAGCTATTTCTCCAAATGCTGTTTTTGATAATAGTGTTTTAATTTTTAAGTTAGTACATTTTTATAATTATTAATACACAGATCGAACACTAAGAAAGTATTCCTTTTTGGAGTTAGACAATGCAAAGATTTTTTCATATGCAGACGACACAGCTGTAGTCTTCTCCGGATATTCCTGGGATGCAGTCAAATTAAGCGTTGAGCAAGGTATGGTCCAAATAAACAAATGGCTAATAAACAATCTTCTGACATTAAATACCAATAAAACAAACTATATATGTTATACTATGAATGAACGTACTCAACCTGGTAAAGACTTCAACATTAAAATTCATTTATGCGGGGATATTAACAATACAATCTGTGACTGTCCAAAGCTAGACAAAGTGAAAAGTACGAAATATTTGGGTATTGTGGTAGATCAGAGATTATCATGGCATTCCCACCTTGAACTGGTTACTGACAGAGTCAGGAAGTTAACTTGGGTGTTTAGAACTCTGAGATACATTGCTCCTAGGAAAGAGTCTAGAAATAATTTTTCCACGAGTAATTTTTTAAACGTGATTTATGTCGCCTTGGTGCAATCAATTCTGGTGTACTGTATCCCCATTTGGGGTGCGGCGTCAAAGACTAAATTCCTAGAGTTGGAACGAGCACAACGGTCACTAATTAAAGTTATGTACTTTAAAACGATTAGACATTCTACTGAAGACCTTTATCACTTGAGCAGTCTCCTCTCGGTTAGAAAATTGTACGTGCTGTTAATCATTATGAAAAAACATAAGATTGTACCATTTGACGCAAATGTGGACAATAAAAGGAGGAAAGATAAGGTAGCTTTGGTTCCCAACTGTAAAACCGTATTTGCTAGTAAGCAATACACTAGATGCTCGGCCTATCTATATAATAAAGTAAACACAGAACTACAGATTTATAAAAAAACAATTTATGAGTGCAAATGCTTGCTAGTGAAATGGTTGAAAACCCTTAGTTATGAGAATGTTGAGATATTTTTGCAATAACGTAAAGTCTAATAGGTACAACAACCACAAACTCTTTCTTTAATCTACACCTTACAATTACAAATAATACAATTCTAATCACAGTAAAATTTATACTAATTGAATATTCGCCGCATTTATTTGTATATATAACACGGAAGAAATACTGTATATTAAATTTGACTCAATGTGTATATATTTATATGTCTGTATATGTTTCGTATTTATGTAATATATATTTACTTTAAAGACATCAACCTACTCTGTATAAATATGTAACCCAACCACTGTTTCAAAATAATAAAACTAATATAAATGCTCTAATTACCTGTACTATACAATTTAGAAATTTGTAAATTAGATGTAGTAAACAGATATGGATATAGAAGAGCGGAGTCTCCTAACACAGGCATTGCTATGCTTAAAAGGAGATTCCAGTCACTAATACTGTAAATCTAAACTTGAATTGAAATAAATGATTATTATTATTATTATTATTATTCCTTCGATTCTGGATTCGAACCAGTGCCTTCAAGCAATCCGTGCCAGACACTCCCCGAACTGTACAGAACAGTTTGACACGGTACTGAAAGCTCATAGTTAGCAGCGAACGTACCGCAGCTGCACATGCGCAGTGTGCGAGCCCCTCTCGGCCTGGTGGTGGTGGAGCCGTTCCATAAGCGCGGCGTAGCGGCGTTCCTCCCCCGCGCCCCCGCCGTCCCACGCCACGGCACCGCCCTCGGCCACGCTGCTTTCGCCCAGTGAGCTGTTCAACAAACAATATTCCACTTGAGCAGCGGTAGATGGGCCTGAGTTACTCATTGTTGGGCCTGCTCCATAATTGTCATCACGTACAGTTTACTTCATTAATTACAACTTTTTTTATGATTACAAGTGACGGGACGAATAAGTCGTGCGCCTGCTGGTAAGCGACACGCGTGTCCATACTAGTCGCAGTGCCATGTAGAGTTTTATATCGCAAAGATTTGAGGGACACTGTCACTGCGCCTGTCACCCTGAGACATAAGTTGACTAGTCCCATGTGCCTGTAATTGCACTAGTACACTTATCCTTCCAAACCGGAACGCAATAACGCTCACATTGCTGCTCGGCGACAGAAACATTCACAAGGAGCTCTACTGCTACATATACTTCGAAGACGTGACAAGTTCTCAGCCCGCGACGGAGTAGTGCGATAGGCTACGGCATACATCTCTTAAAATGGCACCTGTGTAGTAACTGTGCTGGTGAAACTTCAGGCACATGGGATTTATTAACTTTGTGTCGCAGAGTAACAGGTACAGTGGTAGTACCCCTCATATCTTTGCTATTTAAATCACTGCAAGTCTTATAGGTAGGCTGTTCGATTATGGCCAGGCGCCCGACTTGTTCATTTCATAAACATAATAGTATAACATAACCATAACAAAAAATATGTTGCTATAAACACATAAAAACTAAATAATATCCGCACGAAGCAAAACATCCCATTTACAATATTTACAGTGCTTTCCCTCCTTGTCACAAAGCCGGCTTTAATTCCATTCGAAACCAAATATTGTTGTAAGTCAAAATTTGTGGAATTGAGAAAACACGATTTAAAATATAAAAAAATACTGTACGGATCTTAAAGCGAGTAATGTGATTATTTTTATTTACACATAATGCTTATTTAACCATTTATAAACGAGAATATATATTTTCACCTCACTGGCTCGGAAAGGCTTTCTTTCTCATTAGAAATCTGCGGGCAAAAGCGTTTTTTCTACGCTTGGAAAAGGTTTTTGAAATTCGAACTTGACGTTGGATTGTGATGTGAACTGTTTCCTTCGATAAAGAAAAAAACATAATGACACGTTTGTCGTACATTATTTATGTAATATAAACTTAGACTATTTTTTCATCCTCTAAGAATATAAATCTGTTGATATATTTTATTGTTATGGTTGTTGACATTAAATTGATAACGATAATTAATTTTGTTCCTTAAAACTGATTTGTTATAGTTCAACTGTTTTTCTTTCATCTACCACTTTTCTCGTAACGGTGAGTTGAAAAGTTATGTGTTTCGCTCGGCAGCAAAGTTGTTTTGCGTCTCGTGGCTTGAAACCCTCGCTGCGCTCAGGATTCTATTTTTCTGAGAACTCTTCGCTTGCTCAGGTTTCAAAACAAGCACTCACGTTCAACAACAACTTTGCAGCCATGCATAAACAAATAACTATTATTGATATCTTTCAATTTTTTTTTACTTTCAAATAGTGTTTGCTCATTTTCACAATTTTGACTTACGACAGTATTTGATTCGGGCTCATTCACACACGAGCTTGTCTTTCTATAGGACATAGTATAGCATAGCTTGTGTTAACTCAAATAAGAGCATCTCACCTAACAGGTCTTGGCGACATTGGAGCACCAGCAGTCATTGGTAGTGCAGCACGTAGAGGCAGACTCATGTACCCACTGTCCCCACACAAGCTGTCCGATTCCGCTGATGGTGTGTAGGAGCCTTTAAAAAACATTACAGGATCTTTTTCGAATCACGAACTTTTTGCGGTAGGCCAATAGAGTAGATTAGTTTATTCTCTATAAAAAAATAGTCTCTATAATAAGTGCTATTGAGTTCAATCTCATGTTACACTCAGGCAGTAATAGGGTGTGAGAGTTTGGATGTGAGAGTGGCAGCATCAATCGAGGCGATCGCTACACACGGCGTGTCGCTTACTGCGCGCCACAAATACATATAAGCTCGGTACCTCTCTGTCGCGCATCGTGATGTCTCGCTTCAACGCGTCGACTCCACGTAACTACCACTAGTTCAGGCGTTTAATTTTTGTATATAGTTAGGTTAACTTTGAATTAAAACGCATTCCAATCCTGGCCTTCGAGTTTTACTCATTTCACCAAGGAATAAGGAACTACCTCTCCGCTAGGAAAACTCTACAACTTACTTCGGTACTTACTAGTAACAGTGCTGCCCTTTCTTTGCATACACGGCTCGGACACTTTCACAACAGGATAAGGCCATTGGAAATCTTCGTGTAACCTCTTCACACACATCACTGCACTGTCAATTCTTGCCGCTCGCTCTCTTTCTCCTGCTAACCAAGCTACGAGGTGTAAATCTAATGCGCACGCCATTTTGCCCAGTGAATGTAGTCGCGCTGTTGACAATAGATGGCGCGCGTGTCTTTGGATCATCATATCGATGAAGAACTCTTCGGCTGTGCCGCTGTAGGAGTCTCTGCAAAGTGGTTGATTTATTTTAAAAGCATGTTTGAAATTGCGAGAGGCTTTCAATTAATTTTAAAAAAGACTATCTTTGTCAGTTGTATTTATGGGAAATGATTTACTATATTGATTTGTTATATCATACCTGGGGCGCGAGCTGAAAAAAGTTTTACTATCTTAGATGAAAAGTACTTTACTTATTCGACGCTCAGTTAAAGAATAATGAAGGCCGAATATTGCAAATTGGTCCAATTAAACGCTCGATTAAACGAATGTCCACCTAGTAACTAAGGTTGATTCTTATACCTCTCGGAGCGCGCGGGCACAGACTTCTTGCGTTTGACGGCGGCGGTAGCGCGCGCGGGCGGCTGCGGCGCTGGGGCCGGCGGCGGGGGCGGAGCTGGTTCGCTGGGAGATACCGTGGTGCTGAAGCTGCGCCCGCGCCCGCCCGCCAGCTGCGCCGACAACACGCAACTCTTCAATCGATTATGTATGTATCGTACAGTATATGATGTACATTATAGTCCATTTCACATAGTATGGGTACGGTGATGTTTGAGATTTGAAGTTTCTAGAGATGTAGTGATGTGAAACGAACGAAAAAATATCGATTTAAATATCTTGTCGAAATAATTTGTAACGAAGAGAGAATAGTTTTAGAGAGTATAGTTTAAGAACTAATAATAAATAAAATAATAAGGATATAATTATTATGTTATTCAATTACTAAATAACTCTATGAGGTGCGCAGGAACCGCATGTTACGACTGGCGAAATGGCGGCAAATAAAAACTTTTCTCTAGTATGTCACGCAACAGTACATTTTGTTAAATTCATAGACAAGCTAGGGTCGGCCCCATATATTATGCTATTATTATTATTATTATACATATTGTTCGATATCAAGTAACGTGTGAAATTTAAAAATACAACTCTAACAAATATTATTTGTTTTTATTATAAATTTACTAGTTCTTTTTATAAGCTGGTTGAGTGATTATGAATGAATGAAGTATTCTTTATTGCACATTAAAATTACAATGACAACACAGGACAGTAATGTAAGTACCATAGAGTAAGCCAATGTACAACAGGTGGCCTTATTGCTAAGTAGCAATTTTTTTCAGGCAACCTTAGGATAGAAATTAAAGAGTTGATGAAATAAATCAACTCTGATTTGCATAATTGTATATACAAAAAAACTATTTAAAAATAAATATTAAAACTTTTGTATTATTTATTATATTAACATATATTTTTTATACTAATAAATAGAACTTATGAAAGTTTACTACAAAAATAAGGTAACAGATAAAGGTGGACAACATTCTTTACCAAAACGTGTCGCGTAAATGGAAGAGAATGAAATTACAGGCGCATGGGACTTGTCATCTTGTCTCAGCATGACGGGCAGTGGCAGTGCCCTTCAGATCTTTGTGATTTAAAATTGGCACTGACAGACGAGTCACTTACCACCGCACGGTGGCACGACTTGTTCGTTCTGTCACTTGTATAAAAAAAAAATTAAAACGAACCTGCATATTTCCCAATATGACGGACAGGTCTTCAGCGTTGGGGCTGACTGTCTGCGACTGGACAATCTGTCCGTATTTCGCTTGCACGTTCACAGAGTTGCGCGGGGAATCCACGTCGTTAGGATCTATGATGAAAACAATATAATAGACAAAATTAAATAGGCAATAACTCTTTTAAATGTTACGTATTTTTTTTTTAGAAAAGTGTTTATTTCCCGAATACAACATTAATAGCTCGAATATTCGACCAATATTGTAGATGATGATTTTTTTTAATGCAGCTGCCTCAATAATAAAACCTTCCTGTGTCCGATAGCAAAATCTGATAAATTATTAAAAGTCATGGAACAGAAGTTGTTGTTTATGATGTTAGTTATATAGTCTTGAGCGGTCGTCAGTATTTTACAAACAACCCTGTACATATCGCACTGTTGATACAATAGTACTCAAAAAGTGTATTTTTTTGAAATTGATGAAAAACGGATTTCTTAATTACTTTGAAAGGTCATTAAAATTTATGTTTGGGTTTAAATTTAGCACAATTTCCTACTTGGCAGATATATTTAAATTAAATAAAAGGGAAAATAATTTCATATTTTTTAATAAGGACTGTTTTGGCCTGAACTAGTTCACATACGGTTTTTCTCATTTTGAGTTAAGTAGATATCTTATAATATTCCAACGAAAGTTTTATTGACTAGTTGGGAATCAAATTTGACCTTCAGCAATGATATAATCTTGAATTTCACAAATTTTGAGTTACAACATTATTGTAATAGTATTGCGATATTAGTTTTATTTTGTATGTTTTTGTTTATTCATTTCTTTAAAAACTTTACATCTCTAATTCCGTCACTTATTATAGAGCGTGGGTGTCCCATGTATATATACCAAATACACAATTTTATTAAGAGCCTACACTACCTCAGCTCGAATTAAAATTATTCTCGTACTAATACGGTCTGTTTCAGAATTATTTTTTTTTACAAACGAAATTAAAGCATTTGAAAAATGTATATCGTATAGTATACGTGATCTATATAGTTCAGTTGATGTCAACTGGACTACAGAACATGTATACTATAGTATATAAAATTTATTTTACATATAGTTTACGTGTTCATTTATTTTATATAAAAAAGAAATCATAGGTACATGTATGTTTAGTACCGAGTACAGCAGTTTTCTTGTAAAATTTCGAGGTACGTTTGTGTTTTTTTAAATCCCGAAAATTTTTAGGTATCGTGTTTTCACACCGTATAGTAATCACCGTATAAATTTTACCATATATTTACACATTTATACATTATTTTATACATTAGGTAAAGAGTGACGACGGAACAAAATAAAGTTAGAATGACGAGGCAAGGGAATTAAAGAACGATTCAAAATTTGAAAATAAGTGGCCAGGAACCAGAGAAAAGATAATATAGGATAATAAGGTAGTCAGACGATGGAGAAGGACGCAAACACTTACACTGTTCTGCGGAATCAACCAAAGCCATTTGAAGTAGTATAGACTCTTAATTACAACATATACAAGCTTACTGTGAACCACCAATGAATGTCTTACCTATTGCTCTAAGGAACCGTACTAAATCTCTGGCAAGATCCCATCTCTCTTCCTGAAGTGCTGTGTCCAGAAGTTGCGTCGCTAGCTGCCTACTTACTGTAGAACTCTCTAGGTTCTGGATAGTTACAGCAACGTATTAAAATTATTTCAAATTACATTATTGTATTAATGATTTAAATGAAGCAACTAAAGTAGAAAAAAAGCAAACATAGTTCAATGGTTTTTACAGAAGCTGCGAAAAGTAAATTAAAAATTAGCTTATTTAAATTATGACTATTACTATTAAGATATTTACTAAACTATCGTAAACTTTTGTGCAAATAATTACTCTTTTATAAAAAATATTTACAGAACTTTTGAGGTCTTTATATAATTTTTTTTATACAAAGACCTCAAAAGTTCGTGGAATTATAATAATAACGCACACACTCAACATAGCCCCGCGCTAGGGAATTCCTGTGTCGCGGGTCCCATGGTCACACAACCACAAATTACACCCAAACTCACGAGAGAAATAAATGTAGGCCATACAAATATTTCTCCCGGCCCGGGAATCGTTAACCCTTCAAATCGTTAAATCGGTAACCGTTCGGCCACAGAGGCAGTTAAAAATTATATCTAATTGGCAGGTTTTATTGAAATCGATTACCAGAAATCGCGCAAAACCGGATTCATTCCCTACGTTTGCCACCCTTAGAGGTGGAATATTTTTTTTTTTTCAAATTTAAATGGGGCCAATATTGAGGTACCCTCTTTCCAACAAAAAATGAATCGTCAAAATACGTCACATACACACAAATAAATACAGTCCAATTGAGAACCTCTCCTTTTCTCAAGTCGGTTATAAATAAGAAAATATCCGAATGATATAGTAATATCCACTTGCATTAAACTTAAGTACGTCTTAAACCAATGATTACTTTGATAAGGCACTCTTATGACAATGTATAGATAAAGAGGTCCCGGGTTCGATTACCGAGCTTTTTTGTATTGGTCTGTTTCTCTGTTCCGCATAGTGCCCTTAGTTTCGTTGCTTTAGTACTCATAGTACAGGGAGTTCTCTAGTTTGAGACAGGCGATTAATATTTTGGATAGATATATAAATGTAATACTAACTAATGAAAGTACCTGCCAAAGCTGAAATGAAAAGCAAATCACATGCAGTTTAAGTTTACAAGATAAACGAGATCAATCTCAGCGGCTGCCGTTTTTTATGCAACTCCTACAACTCCTCACAAAATTTGCTGTATTGATATCTAATTGGTATAATAAAGCCACATTTAAACATACGTCAAAAGTGCTTTTATGACATGGAAGTCGTAAATTAATACCAGAGATAGAATATATAATACTACACTAGTGCAGATACACAATCTCATACAAAGAAATGTCACACTCGTAACTCCACTTATGCGGACGCTTATTTTGAATCCTCACGCTGATCAATAATAGATGGTACTAAGTACACCCGCCATGCGATTGTAGTAATATTCGGAAATGCCAACAGATGGCAGCTATTACATTTTAGTCAAAGTTATTGCTCTCGTTTAGGCGTTGATTGTTATATATAACATATATATACAATAACATATAACAAAAACGCAAATAAACCGAATCCGTACATTCAATAATTTAAAGTAAAAGTCAGTTCTAAAACGTTACTACTTTCGAGAATAAATTTAAAAAAGTGTCATATATACAATTCATTGCAAAATATTGAGAAACCTCCAATATGTTATCTTTTTCAAATTTCACAATTATAAATGAATTTAGATTTTAACATTCCTATAATGTTGTTTAAATAGTTTTGCATTTATTTTTTTATATTTTATACATCTTATTTAGTATTACACCTCAAATTTTCGAGATTTTTTATTTTATCTACGTTTTTAAATATGTACTAAAGTTTATTTGTATGAATTGATATCCCATGATAATACGAACTACACGAAACAAATATGTCCAATTTTATAACTCTCCTATATAAATATAAAATAAATATCCGACTCATTTCGTTCGTGAAATCTTTAAACCTCTCTATTGAAAAGTTCTCATTTTGCGGATGTGGCCTTATTACACCATGTTGTGCGATTTGAGGTTGCAAACTGTAGTTCTTGCTATTACCGTTTATATTCACTGTATTGGCAATTTGTGACAAATCGTAATGTTTTGATAGAAAAATCAAAAGCTTAATATAAATTATTTTACATTACTTACCTGTAAAATAATTAAGTAGGAAGCTGCTGTGTCGAGCATTTTCTTCTGTAAGCATTCTTGGAACAGTTCTTTAGGTTTTCCGGCGGCAGAGAATAAGTACGCCCATAGCGCAATCTCTGTTTTTCTCGCGCATTGTACTACTGTCTGGAAAGAGATGAACAGATTTTGTACACAATGAGTGCCGTGCGGTGCACGCTCAGATTCGGACGTGCTCCACTGCACAATAAGAATTATAATAATTCGCGACCCGCGCGGCAATAGCCGCTGCACGTAATTGACTAGGGGTTCTCAGCAACTCATAGCCAACGAACTGTTGGCGTTTATACAACACGCCATAGATACCATGGACGAAGTCAGCGTCGTGCAGATCTGCAAGTCAAATTTCAAAGATACCAACTCAACACCTGTCGAGGTCGACAGGTGTTGAGTTGGTACTCGCACCACAAATGAGAGAAGACTTTTGGCCGAAGGGTGTCATGTACCGGCGTTTCCGAGGACGGCTACCGGACACCCACGTTGCGTCACACGTCGAAGTACATACGTGTAAATAAATAGTGTTACATGTATATTATCATGTTATATTGTATTTATGATTAGTCCGTAAGGTATTTATTTAATACTTCTGTTATTGTTTTATTATATTATTGTTATATTATATGTATGTTAGTCTGTAAGGTATATATGTATGGGTCCTAGTCCTAGTTGCCTGAAATAAATAAATAAAATAAATTAAAAAAAATAAAGGTTTACTGTACCTTCGCGTGAAAAACGCGCTAACTCGACTTATATGAATATTCGTTTTTAATCATTCTTCATATGTGTTAAATATTGTGATCTTTTTGTCAAATCGCCACTGCTTTTAATCGGAAGATCTTTTTCAGGTATATTAAGTTACCTTTTTCTTGTGTAATGTGATAAAATTTACAGTCATGTATTCAATTTCATATGTCACACTTAACTTTAATTTAAATCGCGTTAAATTCTAGTGTAAAGCAATATAAATTCAATCAAATTATTTAAAACGTTGAGTTTAAAAGTACAAGGCTTTTATTATCATTTCAAAAATTGAGCTCAATAACACTGCCAGATGGTTTTTGTAGCTTTTTTATTTTGTTTTTTGTGTTTCGATGATTTTTGTAATTTAAACAGATCACTACATGTACTTGCACTTACTTTAATATTATTTTAATTTTTTTATTATTTTGCAATTTGCAAATCACCTAACATGCTTGTGGATGCGTTTAAAACCTAATGCATGCGTTTAAAAGTGACAAATTAGCTTTTATTCTTTCCTGTTGAGAATCGTACTTAACTTACTTGCAGATAAACCGGGAACTCGTGAACGAATTCGATAATACTGGGCAGTTGCGCGTCCGGTATAGGTTCTTTACTTGTCGCTTCTTCTTCCAGAACTTCGTGCAGTAGCAATTCTAACGAGTGTGGGAAGTAGGGCAGTTGCGAGCACGATCGTGCGATTTCCCACGCGTGGTACCCGAGGTTGCGTCGCAAAAGCTGCCTTAGAATTTGATGGAGGTATACTTGACTCTGTAAAAGAAAACTCCGATTTATTCAACCATTTCACATATTATTGTTACTAAAATTGAACAAAGAAAGGAAAATTCCTTCGATCCGGCTGGAGTCGAACCAGCGACTTCGCCATACTGGGACTATCGCTCTCTCAACTCAGCTACGGCAAGGAATATGGTAGTAAAAATATTTCACATAAAAAAAAGGATTTAATGGTTCCTAAGACACTTTCCTGGTATCTTCTATCTATCTAGCAAGGACTAATTATAGATATAACCTAACCTCCGGTTAAAAACCGACCTCAAAAGTTATTCATCCCCTAGTTTACTACCTATAGGGGTGGAATATTTTCTTCAAATTTAAATGGGACCACTTATGAGGTACCCTCTTTCCAACAAAAAATCATCATTATCGGTTCACAAATGGCGGAGTTATCGCGTAACATACATACAAAAAATATATGCAGACAAATTTAGAACCTCCTCCTTTTTTTGAAGTCGGTTAAAAATAGTTTTCTATGTAGAGCTAGTAAGGGTTTGTATAGTGTGCTGAGCAATCATGACCTGGATGTTGATATATTCAATTGTAAGCTCACGGACATTTTGTTTAATTTTATTGAATAGTTTGTGACTGTTGGCGCAGATATTGGGTTGTTATATTTATGTATGATCATGTTGCTCGTGTTTGATAGGTGGAAACCTGTAATTGGCTTTATGTTTCTTTTCCTATTTTTATTAAATGTTTCAAGCTGCCGGTTTACCATGAATAAATAAAATCTTCTCTGATTTCGAATTTTCCCATTCTGTCCCATTAAAAAACACACTGAATATATCATTACATTAGACTACATCTTACTCATGTTTTAATCTGTAGTCGTATTGAGTTGATGGACCTATACAGACACCATACCTCTTCCATGGATCGAGTAAGAACCGAATCTCCCCAGGAGCGGCTTGATGAAAGGTTTCTTATAAATCCGTCAACGCTAAGCGTAAGTTTCGATTTTTTGTATTATTCAATAAAACAAACACTTCGCATATTTTGTTATGTGAAGCCTAACTTACCGTCTTGTTAACAACACAGAAGGGCAGTGAAAACATCGAGCTGGAGTCAGAAGCGTATAGCGTCGTATCGTTTTCAGCCCCCAGAAGAATGGCGTCATCAAACAATATTGCTGTGAAAAATTATTGTTATATTCAAGTATTCGGTAAAATATACCTTTTCCCCTTCTATTTCCCCAGCTAATGATCACAAACTGAAGAAGATATCGCCAGAAATTTACTCAATCCGCTTTATTGTAGTATAATAATAATAATAAAGCAAGTAGTGTAACTCTATACAAACATAGCAGCGCGGTTTGACAAACTACTGAACAAAAACAATGGAGCCATTATAAAGATTTTTTGATTCTTCTTTTTTTTTGCTTGTTGTCCAATCATTTTAAATCTCATTTTACTCTAACTTGCTCTTAGCTACACAATTTTATTTTATAATTATAACGCCAAACAAAACTTCAAAAGATATATCTAAACGTAAATTAAAATATTTTCCTTTAAAATTACCCAATAGTACATAAGTAGAAACAACTTACTCAATGGATAAATATTAAGATGAAACGGCAACATGATTCGCTTAGCCATGAAAGTATGTCTTGACGTGTCTGGGTGTCGTGATGCATCTCTAGGCAATAGTGGCAACCATACTCTGGCACCTAAGCTCCCACACCACAGCCATAGAGCTCTGGAGAGTTGTGTTTGTGATGGCGACGAGTTGCCGCATGACCAGACGCTTTCCACACACGACGCGAGGACTGTTGCTGGCAGACAACTGTAAGCCTGTTAACGAAATGGATTCATGAGTTCAGATGTTTCTTTGATTTAAATTCAGAATAGGCAGTGGCTTCTCTGTCTATTGAATTACAGCTTATAGGTTCACCAGCTCTCTGAAAAGCGAGGTGATTATGGATAATCGATATAATACATAACTATTATTAAAACATAATTATTAGTAGCAGCGCTGCTTGTGTAAGAGTTCGTCCAGGTAAGTATTGCCTTACCTATTTCTACCCCCAAGCAGTAATGTTAGCATTATTGCTCCGGTTTTGAAGAGTAAGGGTGCTGGTGAAATTACAGGCATATGGGACTAGTCAACTTATCTCTCAGGGTGACGGGCGCAGTGGCAGTGCCCCTCAGATCTTTGTGATTTAATGCTCTTTATGGCACTGTAACTGTTATGGACAGGTGTGTGCTTACCACCAGGCACTCGACTTGTTCGTCCCGTCACTTGATATTATATAAAAAAATCTCAAATACTATAATCTAAATTCACGAGGGGACCAACCCGCATGACGTACTATTGCTTTCCTGTACGTCTGGCGTAACCTGGGCAACAATACGCGAATACCTTACGCCGATTGACAAATCCTTTCACCAAAATGGCAAGCATTACAGTGTAGGCCATCGATACGGCAAGAAGATTCTAAATGAAGGCATATAAAACAAGGCTGCTCTTTAAGCTCAGGCCACACAGAGGCAGGACAGCAGGAGAAGCGGTCTAGGGGCGAACCTGCGGGAAGCGAAAGCGTACGACACAGTAGTCCCAAGCGTAGTTCGTGGCGGAATAGGCCAGAGTGACACCAAAAGCAGCCACGTTAATTTTCTACTGCGATTCGCTACAGTGAGCTTATCTCTAAAAGAGATCTCTTCTAGCCAATCCTAGCCGTGGTGAATAGAGAAAGTCTGCGGGACTATTATTATACAGTAAATTCATTAAAATTTAAATGTAAAATTATATAGAATTAAATATCGTCTTTTTCTGATTTTTATTTCATAATGCAAACGAATATATCAAAAAAATTTGGTTCTAAATAGAAGTTGTTTATTATTAAAATTAATGCTCATTCCAAACTTCCCCGAACTATTGTCGATCCAGTTATTTGCGTTAGAAAGCAATTAGTCGCTCTATCTTTCTCTCTCTGTTATTGTAGTGCCTTTTATGGAGTAGCAGTCGTTAACCCAAACCAATTTAAAAGGTTTACTCACTATTTCGTAACAGTTGACAAATAAAGGAACAAGAAGGTCAGACCATTTCAAGTGGTGACCGCGTTCAAGGTAACATGAGCCCTATACATTTATCTTGTTCCGATTGACCTCGGTTGTTCGTGTGAGAAATTAAAAATTTGATTTTTGCAAATGATGTTTGTTACCATGAGTACGATAACGTCGTAATGTCCTTTATCCTCATTAACTGGCATATGTGATATTTTTATCGTAACGAAAACTCTACAAGACGAAGAAGAAAATTGTACATAGCATAATGAACTTAATCCCAAATGTGTAACGTAGATAAATATTAGTAGTTAGCTGCGGGAATTCTAGCAGCAGTAGAGCTCCTTGTGAAAGAGTTCGTTCTGGGAAGTACTGCCACCTTATCTATTTCCGCCGCCAAGCAGTAATGTTAGCATTACTGCGTTCCGGTTTTGAAGGGTAAGGGTACTGATGAAATTACACATGGGACTTGTCAACTTATGTCTCATGGCGATGGGCGCAGTGGCAGCGCCTCTCAGGTCTTTGCGATTTAAAGCTCTGAAACTGTTATGGACAGGCGTGTAGCTTACCGCCTGATGGTAAGCTGCACGACTTGATAAACCCGTCACATGATATTATAAAAAAAATCCTGAGATGGCGCGAGAATTCTTATATTTCGGTGAGTGTGCTCGGATATCCAGACGTATAATCCCTTCAGGCGTACTAAGCGCTTTTCGTCATTCTTTATCACGCGTACAGCCCAGGAATGGAATTCCCTGCCTGCGATGCTGTTTCCGAGCACATACAACCCGAATGTCTTTAAGGTGCGACTGAATAGGCATCTTCTGGACGAGCTCGTCCCATCGTGGAGCGTATCTTTGCTCCAGGGCTAGGCATAGTGGTCAAGAGCAAATCCATTTATACTTTAAAAAAATATCCGGAAGACGCGTTACTTGTTTTTTGGCCCGTATCTATTTTATACATTCGTATTTTTTTCGCACTCACTCATAACCCCGCACTAGGGCAACCCTGGATCGCGGGTGCCATGGACACACACACACACACAGACACACATAGACAACCACAAATTACACCCAAATTCACGAGAGAAATATTTCTCCCGGCTCGGGAATCAAACCCGGGACATCTGCGTGGCAGTCCAGTACCGTAACCGTTAACCGGCCGGCCACGGAGGCAGTTAGCAAATATATAAAGTTCATTGAGCTGTGATTAAAAAAATTTGCTTCCATCTTCCATATATATATATATATATATATATATATATATATATATATATATATATTACACAATATATAATATATTAGTTAGTGTCCTTTTTTATTTAGGAAAGAAACCAGGGCACTGTTTTTTTCATTTTTTTTCATTCGTACCGCAGAGTCTGCTGGAATGGCACGGCATACGCCGATGTGCCACCGGCCGCTCGAATTTGATTCTGTTCCACTAGCGACAACACAGTCGAAAAGACCACGGCGCATTCAGGAAGACTTTAGGATTCTGCCGCATACCGGTGGATTTGTACTTATTTCAATTGTTGTAGCACGAAATATAAATTGATAAATTTAAATTTGATCGTCGACTGAAATACCTTTTGTTGGATAATGCGTATTATTCCGTTGAAGAATATAGGGTGATGATTATAATTTATTACAATAAATATTATTTTACGGAAATGGATAATCACATAAAAAAATAAAGGTACAATCATTATTTTGACATTATTACTATGATATGATATAATACGTTCCTACATTATTTCACATAATGAAATTACGATTAATTTATCATAGTACTAAACTTGTACCGGATATTTGTATTTTTTTTAATGTAACATTTATTACAATTGCAACGATTCTTGTAATACAATATATGTATATAATAAGGTAAAGTTAACAAGATAATAAATAAATCTAAAGTCTATCTAATCTAATCTAAAGTTTCTATTCGCCTGCTTGCGCTGGCTTTCAAAAACCCACATATTTCATACAATAATCGTTGTAGGCGTTTATATCCCAATACGAATGATAGGACAATTTGACACGAGCTACAGCTCAAGGTATGAAGTGTTAAACCGGAAATATAATGCTAGTTCCGATAGTGAGCCGGGTGTGGTACGCGCAACGTATTTATTATATTGAAACGCAGTATGTACTGATGAAGTTCCATCCTTTTCATTAGCACTAGATTATGCTATATTTTCCATACATCGTATTTTGTTAACCTTTTTGTAAATGCGTGTTGTGAATAAAATGACTGTAGTGTAATAATAATAACGTACCGGACAACCACTCGAAATCCCAGTTTCAAATTAGGAAATTTCAGTTCCCTGACTGAAACTCGGCTATGAAGTAGAATTCCCTGCCTGCAGACTTGTTCACTAAACGAAACTTGGACCTTTTCAAGTTGAGAGTGAATAGGCATTATTTAGGTGTGCATGCCCATCGTCGACTTCATCGTCACTTTCTCGAGATGGAAGTCAAATGCGCACTTATTCTTTAATAAAAAAATACACACATCAAAATTGTCTAGGGTTCAAGCACGTTTTTGCCAATTACTTGAAAATTTTATTTTTTAATTTTTTTTTAACACGAGTGGATTTTTTTAGTCAATTTGAAAAAGATTTTGCCCCAAAAATTCCATTGGTGTAAAAAAAATTAATTGAATCCATTGGTGTAAAAAAAATCAATAAAGAATCTGATTTTCAGTAATTAGCAAAAACGTGTTAAATCCCTAGACATTTTTGATCCTAGACACTTTTGTTTCACTAAACCTCGTAGCCAGCAAATTTTGAATATCGAACGGAATTTATTGTAGAAGCGCTTATATTGCCCCTGAATGGAACTCACTCCGGGGGTCTGCTCATAACATAAAGAGCAGAAACATTTTAGAAAAATATGTTTTACATCTAACGCACAGTGCTAACTATTGGGCCACGAGGCAGTCCAAGTATATTATTATTATATGGTGATTTCTGTGGTTTGCAATAAGAAATAGTTACATAAATATTTACTTTTGCAATTGAAATACCAGAAGCGAGATTTCCAGAGTAGAGCAACGAGTTTACACTAATATATATGCTTATCGGGCGGCGTCAACATTCCTTGGTGCGATTATTAGAGGAATTCAAAGTTTTGCATTCCTTACTCGTTTACGTTTAAGAAATAGAGTAAATACCAGATTTTTTACGAAGTGACTGCACGGACAAGTCGTGCGCCTGGTGCGAAAACGTCACAAGCGTTTAAGCGACACATCTGTCCATAACAGTTGCAGTGCCACTCAGAGCTTTAAAACACAAAGATCTGAGGGGCATTGCCACTGCGACATAAGTTGACAAGTGCCATGTGCCTGTAATTTTACCAGCACCCTTACCCTTCAAAACAAGAACGCAGTAATGCTCACATCATTGCTTTGCAGCAGAAATAGGTAAGGTGGCAGTACTTCCCTGAACGAACTATTTCATAAGGAGCTCTATTCTACTAAGTGAGTGAAAAACAACTAATTTATAAATGTTTTAGTTCATATCCTTTTTTAGTTGCGTTTACGTAAAAAATAATTTTTGGCGAATATCTTAAGTTTTGAATAGACAGATAGAAGGCGCATGAAAATTTCACTAAAGTGCATGCATGAACAATCCATTTTTGATAAAATTGACTTTTACGCCTTTTCTTCCCCCAAGTATCGATATGATCTACTGACCGATTCACGTTCGCGTGCAGTCACCTTCGAATGGCCACGACTCACGACACATATGCTTAAAACAATTGGAGCAAATCGTCGCATAATTAGAATTACCCAACTCACGCACTTTAGGGTATTCTTAGAATCGTATCGATAACCTGACAACCTAAAACATCGAGTTATTACAATTCCCAGTTTTAACACCTAGACTGGCAATACAGCAACATGTAAGGCCCGTAATATAAACAATATATTATAAACACGATTTGGAATGTTTTATCAATTAGCCGGGTCAACGTATTTAGTAGAAACTTTGCGAGAAATCATGTTAACAAACTGATGCTGCCTAATTTACGTTAATAGATCCGTAATTATTATTAATGAATGATCGATGATTCGTCGAGAACAAAACAGGATATCTATTAAATTTCTCTTTAATGAATTGGTAACAAGATTTATTTTTATTTACGCCGTAATTATGTTTTCAAGAGCTAAGGTTACAGCGTGCAAGAGAGAATGAGAGAGAAATATAATAATAAATAAATTTAAAAAAAATCGTTACGTACATAAATATTATAATTAATCACAATAAATAGCATACACACATAGCTTTTTTCTTTCCTTTTTTGTAGCCCGTCACTTTCAGACATAAGTTGACAAGTCCCATGTGCTTGTAATTTCACCAGCACCCTTACCCTCCCAAACCGGAACGCAGTAATGTAGTAACGCATTACTGCTTGGCGGCAGGAATAGGTAAGGTAGCAGTACTTCCCTGGACGAACTATTTCACAAGGAGCTATACTTAGCAGTATACTAAAAAGGTACACATATAGAAATTTATATGTAAAAAAAACTATAAGTTAATGACAAAGAGAGTTCAGCAAGAAAATGCGCTGTCAACCATTTGCTAGAAAAAAAAATGGAAGATTTATTAGTAATTTATTATTGACATGCTGTAAATCAAACAAGCTATTGCTAATGGTGTATTAGCCAAATTGCTCATTACATATTCTTACGTTTTCACCGGTCGAAGGCCCGAAGGCAACCGTGAAGGAAGCCTGATGCAACACCAGCGGTCGTTGGTAATATCGGACCATTTACTTTGGACATCCGACTACAGGATGTTGAAGGTCCAACACGATAGCCTATAAATGTTCTCGATACGTACTTAATAATTTAGTATGTTTTTTGCTACAGGTGCGCGTGGAAATGGAGTTTTTTGTGGTTGGTTTTTATTAATCTTTCCGATAGCCAGTGAACAATGGTAGTTGTACTATTAGTATGATATTGATAGAACAAGAAAACGAGAAGTAAAAAAAGACAATGAAAGTCCTTACATTCATAGTTTAGTCCATTTCATTGTGACTGCTTGGAATCTGTTAATTGAAATTTAGTAGTTCGATTGGTGCAAAATTGAGATATTAGCGCAGTGATTATTTTCATGTTTCGTTTGAAAAAACAAGTGAACATGTTTAAAATGCTATGTTATTTGCAGCTTACGTGTCTCTTGGCTTTATCGGCCTCCGCAAAGGGTAATGGGGCCATTGATTTAGGTCCTATTTACGCTCCACGACACGCTTCTGCGGATTATTATGTAAGTGAAAAAAGGCAAAATTATAATTGCACTATTTAATGTAGTAACTTGCATAATATGTGAATTTTACGACAGATGTTGAAATTTGATCTGTTGTTTCAGTCGTACCCGAGCTACGCTTTTGAATACTCTGTGAAAGATCCTCACACTGGAGACAACAAAGCCCAATGGGAAAAACGCGACGGAGATGCTGTTAAAGGTTAGAGATTATTTCAAATTTAGATTTATTTTTTGTTATGACAATATTGTCAAGTAAACATTAATCAAACTCTGGAAGTACTGTTGAAATTATCGTATGGACACACATTAAAAATATCAAGAGATCAACGTATTTTTTTTTAAATTTTAATACCCAGTGGGTGAAATCAGGCTGTGGATGATGATGATGATTTGATTCCCTTATTAAAATGGAATAAAAATATCTATATAAATTTATTAAATTATTTAAACATTGACAAAAAAACCAACAAAAATTAAAAATCTTGATTTTCAGTAATTGATAAAAACGTGCTTGATCTCTAGACTACTATGATGAGTGTACATCAAATTGTTGAAGTGTCTGAATACGTGCTTTTAAACCAATTAAATAATTCAGATTATTTCTTGCAGGAGCCTATTCGCTAGTAGAACCCGACGGCAGCCTGCGGGTAGTAGAGTACTGGGCTGATGACAAATCCGGTTTCAATGCTATAGTTAAACGCCTCGGGCCGAACCTACACCCTACTGGTCCTACAATAGCTCCTTACAAAGCCAACATCCCAATTCTTACTTCGCCTCACCCAGTTCCCATTTCAGTTGGACCTGTGGCTCAGTTGGGAGGACTCGCCGGAGCTCCTCTTCTCCATGGACCAATCTATGGTGGAGACATATCTCCAGCTTTGGCCGGAGCTTCCCTTCTTGCCAAACCCATTCACGGCAATGCCGTTTCTTCAGCAACTATTTACAAAGCACCACCGGCACTAAAGACTATTGCACCTCCACTTCTCCATGAAACAATTTTGCCTGCGCCTATAATAAAAGAAAGAATTGTGCCTCTGGAGCACGAACCCATTCTATCCTATCCAATTATAAAATCAGCTCCAAATTACCATGCGCCAATTCCACCAGCGCCTGTTCTACCAGCACCTATAATTAAACCTGGTCTAATCTTGAGAGATTACCCATATTCTAGCCTGTTGAAAGAACCGTACGTGGGACGGTCTTACAACAGAGGCCCAGTTCTAGAACCATTTTACGAGAAGAGTCCAGTCTTAAAATCACCTTACATCAAGGATTCACTTTATGAACCTGGTCTTATTAAGGCACCTCTTTTTGAGCCCATAATAGCTACAGGCCCTCTCCCCTACGATTCCCTATACGACCGTGGGTTACTCAGACAAGATGTATTGGATAAAGCACCTCTGCTGAGTTGGGAAAACCTGGGTTACGGGAAACACTAAAAACTAGTACCTCGGATACCTCGACACGCCATAATGAATTATTAAAAATGCCGCTACCTATCTTTGCGATTTAGGGATGTTATCAACTAATGAAGCTTTAAGACGGAGATTGTGAATAAATAGTTTTAAGATATATTATTTATTATATTTGTTGGTTGTCAATAAATGTAAGAGCACGAATAAAGCATTCGCCACTGTGTGGTATAATTCGTTGTTTTTATTCTTTTGAAATTTATTTTGTTTTAAGCAAAATTGTACGAGAAAACGAGTCAATTTCTCCAACTCCATTACAAATATACATATATTACAGTGAAAACCTTAGTTAAGCATTTTAACATACTTTGTTTTTACTGATTTTTTATTGAGACAAAACTCGTAAGTTTTCTCTAATCTCTTGCTTAAATATATTATTAGGGAAATTTTCAGGTTAGTTTTCCCTATCAATTTTGGTGGCAATTTTATCATATAATATTCATATAATTAATATATCATATTAATTATATGAATATTATTTAATGGTGGTTATTTAATGTTCGAGTAAAGCAATCTGAAATAATATTTAATATTTAAATAATAAAAATTGCCACCAAAATTAGATAGAGAAAACTAACCTGAAAATTACCCATTAAAGTAATATAGCATCTGAAAAAAGCATAATTTAATTAATTAAAATGATAACGGGAAACATTATTGTGTTTACTATATTTTATTCCCCATTTTTATCTGAACCCTGAAAAATGACTCTAAGACGACGAATATATATACACATTAAATGTGTGTGTGTATGTATATACATATATATATATATATATATATATAAATGTATGTAGTGCGTAGTGACAGTATGGGGAAATCTGGAATCATAGAAGATACAAGGAAACTGTCTTAGGAACCATTAAGTCTTTTCTTTTCGTTTTTTTTAGTTGAGTTGTCCATAAAAACAAATAATATTAGTCAAAATTTTTTTAGTGCTGATCGATCCAGTTTTTTGTAAGAATCATTTCACTGTATGGGACGAAAAAATCAGGATAGCAGAAGTTGATCAAATTTCATAAAATTCATGAAATCCGACCGGATCGAAGGAATTTTTTCTGAGTGTTTTTTCTGAATGTTCGATCTTTGTATTAATAATTATAACAAACTAGTGGAGTAATTTCACAAAAAATAATTGAATATCAATTCAATAAAAATTTAATTCATGAAATACTTCATACAAAATTAATAAATGTGATCAAAAGTTTTTTTAGTGCCAATCGACTCAGTTTCATGAAGGGATCAATTTTCATTGTATAGGACGAAAAAATCGGGACAACAGAAGTAGGTCAAATTTCATAAAATATTTTTTCATACAAAATTAATAAAATGGACTTATTTTTATGAATACTCATAGAATTGAGAGACTGTGTCTATCAGCATCTAAAAAAAAATAGTCAATTTTATTAATTTTCTATGAAAAACATTTTATTAAATTTGACCAACTTCTGCTGTCCCGATTAATTTCGTCCCATACAATGGAATAATCCTTATAAGAAGCAGAATCTATCAGCATTCAAAAAAATAGTCATGATTCCAAACGATGGAACGGACAAGTCGTGGGCCTGGTGGTAAGTGACACGCCAGAACATAGCAGTTGTCACTGTGCCCGTACCATGAGACATAAATTGACTAGTCCCATGTGTCTGTAATTTCACGAGCACCCTTCAAAACCGAAATGCAATAATGCTCACATTACCGCTTGGAGGCAGAAATAGGTTAGGTGGTTACTTCCCTGGACGAACTCTATGACAAGGAGCTCTGCTGCCTACATATAACCCTTACATGTGTGTTTATTTGTAAATATAAACAATACAAACAATATATCGATCTAATTGAAAGTCCAATTTTAAAAAAACGTTTAACAATGACGCATGATAATGTGTAGCCCCCAGTTTTTTGCTCCCGTTTTGTTTGCATCCGATTCAAGTTGACTAGGATATATGTAATCCAAATCAATTAACTGCCTCCGTGGCCGAACGGTTACCATGCGACTGCCACGCAGAGGTTCTTGGTTCGATTCCCGGGCCGGGAGAAATATATGCATGGCCTACATTTATTTCTCTCGTGAGTTTGGGTGTAATTTGTGGTTGTCTATGTGTGTGTACATGGCACCCACGACACAGGGTTTCCCTAGTGCGGGGCTATGTTGAGTACGTTATTATTACTATTATTATTATTATAATTTTTAATTAAATTGGTAGACACAAAAATACTTTTACTAAAAAAATATTTTTTTATAGGTATGTAACATTGTTAGCTTCTACGAAAATAATTTGAAATAACATGAACTTAATGTAAAAAAAGGTTTGTTATACTTGATGAATTAAGTACAAGTCACAATTATTTTAATATTTATTTACCATTTTGTAGCTATAATTAGTTAAAATAAAATATAACTTGAAAAAAAAATTAAAGGACACAAAATATGCATTGAACAGGCCAATATCAAAATAATTGTTTTCATAAAAATAAATTTCTATTTTAACGTTCATAATCAACCATTATAAATAACAATTGAAACAAAAAGGCCTAAGTATAGGTAATTAAGACATAATTGTATCGTACATACATACATTAATATGTTTTTAAACATTTTAGTTGTCAATAGTACTTAATACAAATAAATACATTCTGTCTGAAAAAAAAACTGATTTAGAATTAATTTGGAATCGGGTGCAAATAAAACGGCATAACGAACATAACGGGCATAACGAACGGACCCAATTTTTAACGCATAAGTCTGTATGTGGATAGATACAACACGACCACAAGTCAATATTTAACTTTAATAAACACGGATGTAATAAAAAAAACTTACTTTCAAAACTGTACAGTCAAAGTGAATTTAGAACAATAAATCTGGTATTTCAGGCTTCTGAACTGGCGAGGGAAGTTAGCAGCCATATAAAAGCATTGGTCGCTTTTGCATTTTCATTACATTTCAACAACTGATAGGCAATCAGTCAACATGAATCGACTATTAATGGTAACTTTTTCTTTTAATATTTTTAAATGTAAAGCCGTGTAACCAATAATGGGTAACTGTTTCTGCAGTTAGACCTGAATCTTAAGATAATAATTTTGTAGTAAAGAAACAGCTGCAAAATTTGAAGCTGCAAATACAGGGTTAACACCCTTAATTATTAACCACCGTTAATTATAAATCGACGACCTCTGTGGTCGAGTGGCATGCACACCGGTTTTCACGGTGTCACCCCGGCCGGGCCTATGTAGAAAAACTTTTCTTTATTGTCTCGAGTCTGGGTGTTTGTGGTCGTCCGTCCCTTCGTCGTTGTGTCCGATTTCCATAACACAAGTGCTTTAGTTATTTAGTTTAGGATCAGAGCAACGTATGTGATGTTGTCTAATACATCATTGGTGTTTTGTAGAAACAGCGAAAGCGCCATTTCGAAAAAAAATTCAGGGGAGCATATTTTAGGTTCTAACGACTGTTTGAAAATAAATATATACGTCCTGTTTTAAAATTAAATTTTGGTTTAAATTAAGTTTAAGTTTTAAAATATTTGCGTCCTGTTTTAAAATTAAACTTTGGTTTTAATTAAGTTTAAATTTTAAAATATTTACGTCCTGTTATAAATTCTGCTTTATTTTTAAATTATTTTAAGTTTTTAATGATTTTAAAACAGTCGTGAAAAACCAAAATATGCTCCCCTGAAAAATTTTTCGAAATGACGCTTTCGCCCTTTGTACAAAACACCGACGATATGTTGTCTAATATAATAATTGTTAGGGCTCCTTCAAATTAGACACTTGTAGAAGCGCTACCAAAGCAGTGCGTCTGTGGCGCAGCAGCGGCAACACTACTAATTTCCATACAATATTTAGTCTGCAAATGTGGCACCCGCATGGCGCCACTATGGCGCTGCAGCTGCGCTTCTAAATGTTGTATGAAAATTAGTAGTAGCGCCACCAACGCGTCACTGCATCAATTCCACAAGCGTCTAATTTAAATGCGCTCTTAATATGAACAACTTTAACTCTACGGACTGTACTAAAATTACAAAAAGACAATTGCTGTTTGTTACTAAATGTTCATAAACACATTGAACAGCTGACATCTGGCACGGCAATAGATTTTCGTATTAATGAGTTGAATAACGCTTCAAGTGCAACTCGATCAATAGCCCACGCAACAGACGCAACAGAGAATATTTCAAATTTTTAACCTACATCTCACCTGATGGAAAGTGACGATGAGATCGACGATAGAGCACGCACAACTAAATAATGCCTATTTCGCCGTGAAAAGGCCCAAGTTATAGCGTTTAGGGAATAATTCTGCAGACAAGAATTCCACTCCATAGCCGTTCGCCATATAAATGTGGAAGCGTAATGCGAATCCTTGGAATTCCATAAATGGCTGGAACTCAAGCCTACGTCTAATCCTCCGGTGGTCGAAAGTGTACAAGATAAAAGATTCGATCAAAAGTGTATGAGTATGAGTTTTCGTATGCATTGTATCCACCTGCGGAATAATTAAGAAATAATAAAATATTATGGTTTGCAGACTGTTTGCTCCCTGGCGTTAGCCGCGGTGTCAGTTTCAAGCGGTTTAGTACCCATTGCTGCTGTTGACCATGCTGTAAGTACTTTCAATTTTCAGACTCAATTTGAATTAATATTCAAAAGCGAAAACTTGTCATCTCATTTAGTACGACTTATGAAAATTGAACGCAGTAGGTGCGTATAATAAATTTTATTGGCGGAATGAGAGAAAGAGGTGAATAATTACAACTTTTTTATAAAGAAAAACCGACCTTAAGAGTTCGTGGAATTACATCTATTTGCAAAGTTTTATTGAAATCGGTTTCCGGAAAGTACGTGAAACCGGATTCATCCCTTCCCTTTGCCACGTTTAAAGGTGGAATATTTTCATCAAATTTAAACGGGGCCAATGAGGTAACTTTTTTCCAATAAAAAAAGAATTATCAAAATCGGTTCACAAATCGAGGAGAGATCGCGT